CTAATTTTTTTTGATCAATCACCAAACTTTCAACAGCCTTAACAAAGTATAAATCTGACTATGTCAATTACAGAATTTCATCGAATAATGACTCATTTTGGTGAAACCACATTCAGCTGCATCACTGTAAATGCTGAAGCAGGAACAGAAAGAAGGTGTATAGAGAATATGCAGAGATAGAAGCAATTTTGATAATTTTCATAGAAATATGTCAAGGTAATGTGTTGTAAATATCTCTTAGTGCAATACTCACATGAGGATTTTTAAAGGGGCATGGAACATTATGATACTTTTACTGTAAATGCATTTTGACCATGACACCTGCTGTAACACAGAGGGAAACCAGTTTGGCCACCACAACTATTTCAGAGGCACAAAACCATCAGGTTGTAGGGGAAAAACCAGTATCAAGTTTCAGGGAGAAGAAAAGAAAAGGTATCTACAGCTTTAAGGGAAAGGGAAATGAGATTATTCCTCAGGATGAACCATTTTCAATTACAGCCTGACAAAAAGAGAAATAATTTAAACCCGAGGTAAATTAAGATGGCTAAGTACTAAAACTCCTAAAAAACAGACTTTTAAAGAGAAGCCTTCACAGATGGAATTTTAACTGCACAGCACAGCCGGGTGCTGTTACAACAGGCTTTTTTTTATTATTATTAACTTTGATCAAAGCTTATTCACCAGCAGCACCGAGCCATCAGTGGCTTGGACTACACAGGAGAGCTAATTAAATTTAAAGTGCCACTAAGTCCTGAGGGCATAACACACAATCCCCAAGGCAGGAGCTTGAATGGAGGGGGTGAGAACATTTGCATGGTGAGGCAGTGGGAGATGGCAAGGTGCTCGCTGTGATTTACTGTGGGCTCTGCAGTTCTGAACCTGTCCTCATCATCAAACACGCAGAAAAGTGTGGGCACTGAATGTCTGGGGAAATGTGGGATATTTCCACACAACTCGGCAAGAAACACAGATCATAAAATTTTATTTGATCCAACAGGGCACATCATGACATCCCTCCTTACCCTAAGGAGAGGTAACTCCTACCAATTATAATGTGAAATATCACTAAGGAAAATAAAACGAGATGCAAGCTGACTGTAAATTGGTGCACAGCAGCCTTGTTCTGTCCAGAGGCAGACACACATAATGGCATTTATAAATTAAAATAGCAACAATAAATCATTAAACAATTTCTTCCTACATCCCACCTGCTATGTTATCCTTCTTATCTACAATAGATTGCAATAATTACATCTTTCCCTGCAGTTTTGTCATATACCTGGGAGGAGGGATAATATTCTCCTTTCTGGTGACTTTCCAGGCACTGTGAGGAGTAAACTATTACCCTCCATCTCCCTTTCAAACTCCTGGGAAGGCAGCAGAGAGGGGGAACATTTATCCCATCCTTGCTCATGTTTTAAAAGCCTCCTGATGGGTGAACCACTAAAACATTTTTCAGTTAATAACAGGAGCTGATTTGCAGGGCAAAGCCATTACTTCCAACCGTGATATCAAATTATGATTTATCAGACTGCTATTGTGATTTCAGGATCCCGAGGAGGACGGGCTCAGTAAACAAAAGCAGTACAATTCAGTGCAGAGGGGAAGAAAGAGGAATCTGTAACAACTGGGCTGTCCCTAACCAGAATAAGCGTTTCTGTATCCTACAATGACAGGAACATCTTGTAGCATCGTGCTGAGTCACCCACTCGCTCCTGTGGGCCAGGAGGAACTCAGGCTGGTGATTTCTGGGGGTTGCGGTTTGCTTTTTCCCCTTAAAGAACAACTGTGTCCAGCTGGCACCAGCGCACCAAGGGAATCACAGCCTTACCCCACTCCACACCTTCTGAGGGATTTCCAGCTCTGCTCCAGATGGGGGAACTTTGCTGAAGCACCGCTACAGAAAACACCTGGATTTGGCAACTCTGGGAATCTCACCAGCCCTGGAGCAAAACCTCAGCCAGCCAAAGCCAAACCAACCCTGTCCTGCTCCCCAGAAACATTCCTGACACTCCATCCACGAGGAGCAGCAGCAGCATCTCCCTCATCTCCTCCTTCCTCTCTCAAGCAGGAGCTCACGGGCATTTCAAGGACCTGGCACAGCATCTGCAGCTGCTGCTCCAGAATTTAAGGAACTGCAGTGAGAGCTGGAGCTCTGTGCCTGTCTCATCCTCACATTCACAGCCCTAATCAAGGTTTCAAATAAATTCCTCGCGTGCTCATGGCAGGGCAGGCAAAGCTCTTGTGAAGAATCACACACAGTGTTATTTATAAATGTATTATTATTTATAAACATTGTACTATGTCTAAGGAGTGTAATTATCATCAGCTTTATTTCTGAGTGCTTTAAAATACTTGCTAATTCCATTTTAATTTCTCCCTTTACACTAGCAAGCATTAACTACATTAGTGTATAAGCAAGACAAAAACTACCATGTTTCAGTTCATCTTTGCTTTAAGCTAGGAGGCAGAAATTGTTGTGAGAAAGCAAACCATAAATCAAACATACAAATCGCACTGGAAATGCCAAAAAAAAGAAGAAATTTTAGGTAAACTTTTAAGCTGCAGATTCTGCCCCTTTACAAAGATTGCAATTAATCATTCTTACTAATTTTCTTAATATTTTTCTTCAGTGCATCTTGTTACAATTTTTCCATCAGATTAACACCAGACTCATAACTAAATAAGGTATTCAATTTTCTTTTAATAAACATCAGCAGGTTTTTCCTCCATATCCACTGAAATACCCTGGCATTTGAATGCCCCAAAAATTCAAGGAGAAGAGCAATTGTTGGTGGTTAAGAAAAACTGTCAGAGTTTTAAACTCTGCAGTTCAACAAATCCTGATCTTTTTTTTTGCTGATTTTGCAAACGATCATGATTTTGAAAATTCTTTTGTCTGAATTTCATAGCTTCTGTGTAACATTCCTATGAGTTGCTAGAACAGAATTATCTTGTGATGGAACCCCTCCCAAAAGAAACCCAATCACCTGCTGAGCACTGCTGCTTTTTCAGTTAATAGGGAATTATTTAGACATGCACATATACAAATGCACTTTTACTGTGCACCTATGTGTGCATACACACACCTGCTTTCACTTTCCTTCCAAGAAGTTTTTTAATTATGACCTTCTCTCTTGATTGTGGGTTTCACCAATATCTACTGAAACTACCTGAATAATCTTCTAATTCTCATTGACTCCTGCAATGACATTTCAAGTCCAAAAGGAAAAGAAATACAGTGATGAACTAGAATATAGGAAAACTGAGATAAACAGAAAAAAAATCCCAAATATGGTCTGTCTTATCTTTTATGTCTTACAGTCCTTGATGCTTCATGGAGCTTTGAGCTTCACTATCCACTCATTCCATTCATCCCTGAATTACTATTTTCTGCATAAACACATGATCTGCTTCTTTTTGAGTGTGAAAATTCTAGGACAGACTTCAGATATTCATCACCCAGCTGTGCTTTCCCATTGTTCACTGGGAGAGAAAGCTGTGCACACAGGAGGAGCAGCAGCTGACCTCAGGGATATTCAGCAGTGCCATTGCCTTGAAAACCTCAACTGTGTTCCCAGAGCATTACCTTTATGTTCTTTTCATGTTATCTGCAAATTTTGCATCTGAATTTTTCCAGTCAGGACCAAAACCCTGAGGACTGCATCCCTCAAAGACAAAAGAAAGTACATTTTTTGTTTGCACCTAAAATAAAAACACAGCTGGTGTATTTTCCAGTCCAGTCCCTCGTGGTTGCCTGAGCAGGGCAGTAGTTGTTGTTTTCATTATTAAATACATATCTCTGTCTCAAAACTCCCTCTGAGCTAGTTAGGCCCTACTGAATTTAGAAGAAGACTCCACACCTTCCACTTTTCCTTGCCTTTTCACAAAAAAAATTTCTCATCCTGTTACCTGAACTGAACAATTAGCACCTTGTAGCAAAGACTTCTGGAGACCCCAGTGCAGCATTAAATTATTTCTTTCTGTGATCACAATTTCCTCCACTTGTCTGAAGCTCTGCCCACTTTATATAAAGCCAGAAATTCCTCTGCAAACAGACCCACAGGAGTGACCAAGCTGTTGGCCACCGGCACCAGGGTCCCAAACACTTCCGGCTCCCAATGGGAAGCACACCAAATTGCTGTTTTACAGGAAAACATTGATGTCTGGATTACCTTTACCTGTCGTGGAAATAAAAAGCTCCAGTGAGAGAACCCATAGCAACCTTTGAAGACCTTAAAGGCAGTTTATGTATCTATTTTTATACACATATGTGTATATATCTATACATATATATAAGCAAACGATATTACAACTATCAATGCAGTTTTGAAACTTTGATAGCATTTGCCCTGGGTATTCCCACTAGTTTATCACATGTTTAAACATGCCAAAATTCTGATTCACAGTTAAATATTTTGTACTGTATAATGTGCCATCACTGCATCCCACACACTTTACAAGGCTCTAGTCCTGGAAGAATTCATCAGATTAAGTTTCATGAGCATCTTCACAAGGCCAAAAATTCCCTGACAAATAAGTGGATTCTGCTATAAATACACTTTCATTCCATTTCTGCACACAGCTCTTTTTATAGCTGTTAAACCTCCCCTCTTTCCCCTTTTGAAACACTATTGAAACTGTCAGGAGCTACCTTTTACACTTTATCAATCACGGCACACACATCATGATTCCTAGAATTTAAAATGGAGTTGTTGATGGTTCGGATACTGTTAGACTGTCATTAGTTCTGCAAAGTGTGTAATTTGTCACTTTGCAAGAAATGACAGTGCCTTCACTCGTGCAACATGCTTTTAAACCTCCCCTCTCTAATTTGAAAATGCCAGTATTGTACTCTGCTCCAGCAGAGGTATTTTTGAGGCTTGCTGGCTGGCTTGTCACAGAGCAATCTGTCAGGTAGCATTTTGCCTTCCTTAAGGTTTATTCACACAAAGCCTGTCTGTGATATAACACAAAGACAATGCTTTCTGTCTTACCTGATGGCAGCGAGGCCCGTGCTGGATTTTCACTTTCCTCATCAGTGCTGGCATCATAGTTTTCTTTCTTTACAACCACCTGAGTAGCAGCTATACTATTGTAAAAACATCAAAAGAAAGGGAAAGAAATTAAGGTATTTTTGTTTCTCAAAGGAATTAAATAATTCAGGGAGAATATGTATGAAATCACCACCTATGGAAAGGGCAGGGACACGATCCTATTGGAAAATCAATTGCAGCCCAGCAGAAAGCAGGACAGCTCCATCAAACACTCACTTCTTGGCTACAGCACCCACAGCAATCTGCTGCTGCTTGCAGGGATGCCAGAAAGAATCCTCCTCTCCCCTGACTCCCAGGATTGGTTTGGATAAGCCAGCACTCAGCCAGGAAGAACTGTCACTCACTGTCAGGGCCAGGGAGATGGAAACTGAGCTAAGCTAAACTCACATGTGCACCACACCAAGAAACCCAGGGAAATTAAATACCTGGCACACTTGGCATCCGCTGCGGATTCCTTAGCTTCACTCAACAGCTTCCTTATCTTTGCCTTCTTTTCATTCAGCACCAAAACAAACCTGCTGTAAAGGTCTGCCTCCAGCTCCTCTTTGGCTTTCACGCATTTTTCCAGCCTGCAGCACAAAACTAACCGTTACACCAGTTCCTCTGTTTCCTAGAAGACAATTCTGTCCTGAGGCCAGCCAGGAATCCCCACTCCAAACCACGCAGGGCTGGTCCAGCCCCTTGTGTCTGAAACAGGCCTGAATAAGCTTTTTTTTTGTTGTTTTTCCACAGAGAAGTGCAATGAGCTCTGCTTCCAAAAGGGAGAAGTTCCCAGATGTGAACCTTTCTTTTCGTGAACTTTTTTTTTATTTTTGGTATGTTCTTGCACACCTCCACCCAAGACAACTAAAATTTAAACAGGTAAATGTTCTTTATTTTCAAGGCTGAATCACAACAGTGGGCATACACCTTAGGAGGAAACACATAATGAGATTATAAACAGATATGATTCACCTAGACAGGCTTCAAATCTGTACCACACATTGGTGTGAAATATATTTGAAGAGGAAAAGAAAATTTCAAAATATAAAAAATGCCTAGCTCTTAGTGTCTTCAGAAGAAAATATACTTCAGGTTTTTAAAAAAATTTAGTATTGATCTATGTGGGTAGATGAATGTCAATAAAAGGAAGCACAATGGGAGTATTAAATTAAGAATATGGGTGTTTGAATGCTCATAAGCAAAACTGGAATACAAGCAAACCTAAGCACAACAAATCAAGTGATTTGTGGCAAATGTAATTCTGTATTTAATTATTATATTTCGTAACCTTTCAGTCCTTGGGTTGAACCACAAACATTTTATTAGCTGTGTACACAAGAAGCAAATAAGTATCTTGATAATTTTACTGATCATAGTAAGTATAGTAGTCAGAAGTCAAAATCATATTTTTCACCAGCCTGTGCAAGGCTGGAAAAAAGTTTAGAATGCTTGTTATGCTATTAAACCCAGACATATAACAGACTTTAAAAATATTAATTTATAAGGCAAGAGATTTCAACAGACTTCCTACATAAATACTAATTATTTTGTTCACAGATCAAAACCATATATGATGTAGGAAGCAAGACAATAGCAAAAAAAAAAAAATCTCACAATTTTTATGTTGTGGTGAAATGTGTGAAATCTCATGAAGTATTAAGCCTACTGTTCAATGCTTTAGGGATATGCTTGATAGTTGATAAATAATTCATCTAATTTAAATGCAAATAGCAGAACATCATTACCATACAGATCAGTTCAATAATTCCTAAATGAAAGATCATAGGTACTAATCAACTACCAGGAGACTTCCCACCTACAAAAGGGAAGTTAACTGTTTAGTGGGGAATAAATAGACAATTCACAAAGAACCATAAACCCTAATGCAAGGCCCAGAAGAGCCTGGGCATGCTTGATACTAATTATTTCTGTATACATAAAAATGGGGGGAAAAAGGATTTTGTCTAAAATATGCTAATCTTGTCTGTATCAAATCCCTTAGAATAATCCCCTCTCCCACACATAAACCAGGGAAAGTGGTTGCTCTCTGCCTTTGCTTTGACAAGGCACTGGTTTGTGGCGGAGGAGTTGAGGCTGGTCCAAATATTGAGAAATGTGGCCGACTTGGCCAAAAAAATGCCATTTATGATAACTTCAGTGAGGTCCTTGGGTGCTGCAAAGACATCCCCTGATGAAAACCCACTTAAAAGGAAACTTCAGTGAAGTGAAGCTGATGCTGCCTGGGCTGTGAGTAGTGCAGTGGAGAAACCAACTGCAAGACTAGCCAATTTCTTCAGTCTCCGGAGGAAAAAAATTAGCATTTTGAATATTAGAATTAGAATATTAACTTTTCCCTCTGGGCAGAACCAATTAGTAGTATGCCATCAGTTAATCTTATATGATTGTTTTCATTTACATGAACACCTTTTTTTAATTTTTCTCTCCCATTATTCAAAGCTGTCCACATCCAAATACATTCTCCACACACAAAATGGCATTAATTTGGCAGAACACAGAATATCACAAAAGCTTCACATTAATGCTGTACTTGCAGCTTATATGCCTTTAAAATACACTTTTATATGACATATCTGATAGATTAGCAGAGACTGGTAAAAGGCAATGGTCAAACAGCCCCTGCTAGGGACTATGACAAACAATAAACTGAGAAATTAATTATAAAAAACAAGATTTCAGGTGCTGACCCAACACAGAGGAATCACACGTGCTCTACAGAGGTGAACCTGAGCTATGAAACTTAATGGCTTTCCTTTAATTATTAGTAGCACCCTTCACAATCCAACACTATGAAGGAAATAATTCAGCATCTCTGGTATCCCTCCCTGTTCCCAGTGCTCTGAAATAATTCCTGGATCCCACAGCACCTCTCCCTTGCATGTCAGATTCACCCTTCCCCCAGCATTGGAAATGGTATGGAATGTTGATGAGCTAATGCTGAAGACTCAGTTTCAAGCCCAAAGTACCTAGCTTGCATTTTTATAATCTGCTTGTGGTTTAAATATACTGTCACTGCAGATGACCACAACATAAACTGGCAGCTATTTTGAATTTGGCTTGTCTCTCAAATTTTGGACGTCCAAAACCAAAATGCGTACCCCGCGCCCAAACCAGAAATTGGATTTTTATTGTTCAAGGAATTATTTTGCTACAGGTTATTATTACTTAATATTTGCCACCTCCATTATCATGGAATCACAGACTGGTTTGGGTTGGAGGGCCTTAAACTCCAGCCAGTCCCACCCTGCCATGGGCAGGGACACCTTCCACTGTCCCAGGGTGCTCCAAGCCCCAATGTCCAACTTGGCCTGGAAATAATTTGCCTTGAATTTTCTGTAAGAAATAAAGAGAATAGCTATTGGCCTTGGATTTTCTATAAGAAATAAAGAAAACAGCTGCTGTGCTCTGATATTTTAACTCATCCATCGCTGAGGTGTACACACACAGACACACACACACTCAAATCCAGGCAGCCACTTGCTCACCAAAACCTCCGTGATGGTCAACAGAATTAAACAGGGAGATGGAAATGGGATTATTGAATAATTCCACCCAGTGCCCCACGACCGAGGGGCACAGGAGCAGCTCTCAGAAGCCTGCCTGCTATGTTTTAATTCTAACCAAGCCCTGAGGAGAGAGGCTGTGAGCAGAGGGGGCTGCAGGGGCTGTGGGGCTGGTGTGCCCTGGCTGCAGCTCTGCACACCACGTGCTCTGTATTTGATGTTCCAGCACTCAGCACCCTGAGTGGTGCAGGATGTAAATCCTGAATTCCTGCCTCCTGAACAAAGACAGGCACAGCTTTGTTCAGCTCGGGGCAACTCGCAGCGTTTGGAGCTCAAACAGCAAAGGGAGGCAGCAGGGTAGAACGGGGTTGTGGGAAAAAGAATAAAAAAAAAAAACCACACCAAAAATTAAAAAATCAAAATAAAACAAAAAAAAAAAAACCAAAAAAACCCCAAAAAAACCCAAAAACCAAAAAACAATAAAACAAAAAAAAAAAAAAAACCAAAAAATGAACCCAAAAAATAAAACCAAAAATCTCCTAAACAAAACAAAAAACCACCCCCAAAGAACCAAATGAAAAAGCCCAATACTTCTTGAATGAAAATGATTTCTGAATTATTTTTATTCTGCATAAAACAGACATGACCAAAGACTGGTGACCATAAAACCTTCAGTGTATATTCCGAAAAATCATTTTTCATCTACTCAAAACTATAAACATGCTAAAGAAATCCACCATCTTGCACTGAGAACAAAATCACACAACTCTGACTTTTTTTTTTTTCCCTTATTCCTCCTTTTCTTTGGGGTTACTCTGTAAAAGTGCCACCCCACCATGGAAATTGATACAAGCACTAATGCCTCTTACACATCAGCGTGTAATGCAGCACAGAACACGGGTTATACAATACACTATTGTTCAATTACACTGTTAAGCAGTAAAACACTACTTAGGGAGGCCCTTTGCTTGTCAGGGAGACTGTCAGGAGAAACTGTTACTCATTTTAATGAGAGGGAAACAAAACTAGCTCCTCCCAAAAAGTTGGCTCTCTTTTTCAAGGTAAATTAAATTAGCTGCATTCTTTCATCAATCTTCCCAGATTGTGTGTTTTTTCAGGTAAAGCTACAGAAAAGCAAGACAAATCTCCCTGAAAGAGTTATATGCTTACTGAAACAAGCACAGATTATTTCGCTACAGAATGATAGACAACTCAGATTGTAAATGCTGCAGCAATTACAAAAATCTCTTGAAAAATAATGGTACTTTTTCCTATAATACTGCACTCATCTTTCAATTCCGGCTTCCTCAACAAAGAAAAGAGATGAAAGAAACAGTAATTTATTCCCCACTCAAAAATGTAAATAATTTACACTGCCAGTCCTAAGATTCATAGGAAGTAATAGTAGTGAAAAGGCTTCCTAAGGAAAGTGAAGCTAATTCCACAGATTTTGAGGTGTTTGGGGATTTTTTCTAACTCAGAAGCTAAAACCACCTTTAATTGCAAATTTTTAGTATCAGTTGCATCTTTATCAAAGGAATGGGATCTACAACCACATGGGCTGTGGTTACCTGAGCTCAAAACATGTCTCAAATGAATAAAAATTTCTGACCACTGCTGCTGAGCTTCTCAGGTGTCACCTGTGAATCCACCTGGGAACTCACCTCTTCTCCACCTCGCTCCAGTTGCTGAAAAGCCTTTCATTTTCCCTCTGCAGATGCTCAGTTTTGGCCTGCAGCTTCCCCAGGCTGTCCAGGCAGTAACCAATGAGTTCCTTGATCACCTCTGCTGGGTTTGGGACTTCCTGCAGCTTCAGAGATCCAAGTCTGAACTGAGACACAAAGAAAGAATGAATTATTTCAGCTGAACAAGAAACTTCACTGAGGCTTCCCCCCAGTAAACTTGAATACATCTTTAATAAGCATAAGAAATACCTTACAGTCCTCCAGTTTAAAGGGAGATGATAATTTTGTCACGCAGAGAATGGAGGAATATGTGGAATAATCTACATGGTAATTATTTCCAGAGGGCCACAATGTCGAGAAGGACTCTGCAGCATCTCTGGGCTGGGCAGGCTGCAGAAGGGAACGCTGCCAGGGATGCCATCAATGCCCCCCAACATCTGCAGGGGCTGCCAGAGCACGGGCCGGGCTCTGCTCGGCGCTGCCGGTGCCAGCAGCAGCAGCAGCGGCCATCAAAGAAAGGGCAGCGAGGGGCAGGGCAGCAGGAGGGAGAACTTGTGTGCATGGAGGGACAGCAGAGCCCTGGAACAGCTGCCCAGGGAGGGCCTGGAGTGTCCCTGTGTGGAGACATCCATCCTGTGGGATGCACCAGATCATCCCCAGACATCTCCCCCAGCCCCAAACATCCTGGGATTCTGTTAGTCTGTAATTTATGCAGCTAATATGAAAAATCTAGCCAGTAAGTTGTCACCTCCAGGGTTCAGACAGCAAGCTCTTAGTCTTAAAAGGACTCCCCCAATGAAACAGGCAGCCTCATCGAGCCAGTGAGGTGAAAGGATCTGTAATGAACCACTGTGACAGCAGTGGGGATGCTGTACAGGATATACAGGAGGTCTGAACACATTTGTTTTGCCTGGGATAAACAATAGAAAACTGTTGTTTTAGTCATATTAAAGGAGGAATAGCTCAGCCATGCATAGAAACCAGTGCCAGCTGAGCTGTAACCATGCAAGCCTGGGTGAAGACACATTAATATCCAACACAACAGTTTGAGGGAGTGGAAGAAGGAGAAGGGGTTGTCTCTCACCTTCAAAAAGACTGACATATATTTTATGGCATTTCCCTATGGAGGGAAGTATTACCCTTCTTTCCAACTTGAATACATAGCTATAACATCTTAAAAAAGGCAGAAATATAAGTGGTACACACTAGGGAAGTGTTCACTCTGTGTTGTGGCACCTCACCTATTAAAAACAGAAATGCAGTTTGATTTGGTTTTCCCCCTATTTTACTTGGGAGAGCATGGAAAATTACATAAAGGACACCTATTAAAAAATGCCTATTGCTTGATACCTTTTCAAAGTGCAAGTTTCACTAAGGCCATGCATAAGTTTTGGCTGAAAAAGGCTCGGTAAGAGCTGCTCACAAAGCTATCAAAGACATTGTTTGAAACAAGCAACAGCCCTTCCACGTGGACCTTTCATCTGTGAAAGTCTCTGCCCCAACACACGATACCACCCCGACCTCCTTCAGCAAGGTCAGCCTATCAGAAAACGTGGAAAACTCGAAGGTTTAATTTCCAATTAGCCACCAAATTCACATGTGCTGTCTCTAAAGGGTTGTTGTCTTTAGGAGGCATGCATCTGATGGCTACAGATGAAAAGATGCTTTTAATTTATTTTTGGAAATTAGATTACGCTATCAGTAGCCCACAGATTGGCGTGCACCCCCTGAATATCACACTTGCTGTCTGACAGCAGTAACAAAGATGCACGTTTGTGTAAAGGAAACTGTTTTTCATCACTTGCAAGCCACCACCATGCTATTTGGATAAAGAATTCACAGAGATAGGGAGGCACGGTAGCACAGATAAATAGCATCACAACCTTTTACCGTGAAGGAAATAGCAAGGAGAGCACATCATCCTTGTCTTCTGCCTTAATACATTCAGCTGAGATCAGGTATAGGCAAATCTATTTGATCAGGATAAACAAATTACAGTTTTCACTGCACAGAAAGAATAAAAAATGCATAATCCTGAAATAAGTTAGAGTAGCAGTTGAATTATTCTGAAAACCTGCACAACCAAAATCACAGCAGACACTCCAAATGCAATTGCAAGGATTAAAAAAAAAGCCCAACACTGCTACAGGGACACAGAATATGTGTCCATCTTTGTAGGGGTTGAAGTCCAACACTGACTTTAATTTGACTTTAACTGACTTTTAAACTGACTTGAACTGAGTTTTAAATCTTAAATTTAGCCTTTTGGTCAGGCTTCATGTGAAGCAACTGACTATAACCTCCTCTCTCACTATAAAATTTACTGTCCTCCTGTCTTGGACACTGAAACCTGTGGGCCATTTCCATGAGGACCACAAAGGTGAGCAGAGCAAGCCCATCACCAGGAGGCCTACATTTATCATGCAGGTGCTGACAAAACCTTTTCCTAAAAAAGGAAAAAAAATAGTAAGGTTTTCTGCAAAACAAGCGTTCTTCTCTATCTCTCCTCCTCCAGTAGCCATCTAATCTTAATTTAGGGTAGCTGTGGGGAGCACATTATCCAGCTACCTCCACAGGAAAACACAGAATGTTTGGATACAGCCCTGATTAAAACAAAACTAATGTGACAGCCTGGAATAGTGGAAGGTGTCCCTGCTCGTGGAAAGGAGTGGAATGAGATGGGCTTGCGATCCCGGACTGTGTGGTCGTGCTCTGCCTCCCTCACACAAAGTGCACCAAAATCCCCTTCCCTGAGCCCTGAAGTTCTTCCAGCAGGGAATTGTTTCACACCAGCTCTTCAACAGGCAGGGACGTCAGCACTAACAATAGCAACGCTGCTATCTCGGCAAATTGCAGCTGAGTGGTGTTTGCCCCACCAGGTGCTGAGAGGCTGATAAGCCAAAAAGGCCCCCGGAATTCCCAAAGCAGGGCTAAAACAACGTCAGGAAAAAAAGAAATCTCAAGGCAGTTCTGCTCTAGAGTCCTGCTGGCATCCTGAACTGCAAAGTGGACTGGAAGAGGAGAAAATGACAAAGCAACACAATTTTACATCCAAGGATTCTGAATTTGGGACGGGCGTGTGAATCGCAGACATAATCCTATAAAAATTAAGTGTTGTGGGGGGAAAAGTGCATCATTAAAAAGGAGATGTTCGTTTTCCCCACACACTGCTAAGACTTTCCTTGCGGCTCTAGCAAGAAACAGCGCAGTTATTTGTCCTTCACCGCCAAAGCCACGGCAGGGGCGCTGCGAACAGCTCCAGGGAGAGGCGGTGGAGGTGGTTAAAGATCAGGACTCCACAACAAACCGGGTGGCACATCGAGATAAACAGCTCTTGCTTACTGCAGGAGTGAAAGAAAGCATCATTAACACCTCACTAAGCTAATTTGACAAGCAACGTGTCTTTGGTTTGGATCGCGTTTCCGAGGTGATTTGGTAAATTTGTAACGGTGAATTTTAAACTTTTTTTTTTTTTTTTTTTTTTTATTAGCTTTGTACATTCCTGCACTTTGCCGCTCCCCCGATGAATTTAAATTTCTCACCATCCTTACAGCTGCTGTAGCTCTCTGGCTCTGCATCATCTGCAGATGTAACTAATGTGCTTTCTACTTCCCCTTTCAGATCATTCAAGAAAACATTATGTAAAACACTGAAGCACTGAACACTTCATTTATACAGAGAGGGAGCAGACCTGGAAGAGGTCCCAGGGGACAACAGACTGACTGTGACTGATACACTGCTGCCCTTCAATATCTGTTCTACTGTTGGGATTTTATTTTTTCAATCTTTTTTTTTTAAAGGTGTAAGAAGATGAAGACACAAGCATTTAGAAAACTGTGTTCTCTTAATCAAAAATCAGTCATCATGTATCCACCAGACCTTGTATTTTGAGCTTAAGAAATAAAAAAAAGAATTAGAAGCTTATGAAAAAAATCTCATTTTCCCCTGATCACTCACCCTGCCCACTATTTCCCTTCTAGGGATGGAGAAAGAAATGATCATAATGATAAGACAAAATATTTCAGAAATAACTGAAAAGTTTCTCAGTTTTTCTTCTAGGTGCTAGTGCTTATGGGAAGATGTGCTTCACATAAGGAAATAACAGGTATTAAAAAATGATACAACACATTTTGCATACAAGATTCCAAAACTGAAAGTTTCATTATTGTACGGAGACACTGAATTTTAATTTTGCACTAAGTAACACATAATCTGCTATTTAATCTTTGCATTACTTCACTAAATATGAGAGTTATCATATCTAAGGCAATAATTATCAGAAGTTATGCACTGAAAGGAGACACAGCAATGCCTCTCTTCTAAGTCAGAATCTGAAACTAAACACTAACAGTGAGTTTACTTCAAATAACAACTTTTCACTGTGTCTATACGAAAAAAGAAATCATGCTGGAAACTCTCATTACATCTGCTTTGCTGGTTGCGATTTCTCTCTGTATTAGTAAAATATTCTAACAACCTTTTCGAACAATATTTTTTTACCCACAGTATATTTAAGGAATTCTTTACTACCACGAAATTAGATAGATTTTATCCTTGTTGTCCTGGCAGGTTATAGCAGATATATAGATATATAGATATAGATGTATGGATAGATATATATGTTATATTTGTGAGATATCTCTCTCCTATTAAATCTTAACCCACAGTATTTCAGTTTTTCCTTCTCTGTTTCAAAAACTATTTAACAAGTAATTTTTGGAGAGAGCACACTTCACGGACGCTTCGGTCTGATTTTGAAATGAAAATATTCCCAGCGTGCGAGCTGAATGACAGAGGTTTAATCACACAAGCCAACCTTGCACAGGCTGTTACAGGCCCTAACTCAGCTCACTCAGCTTCCACTTCTCAAGCCCCGAGTGAGACAGAGAGAACTTCTCCCATTCCTCTTCCAGAGATCCCTGTGCTCTGCCCCTAAAACAGCATTTCAGACTGAGCTAGCACATCCTCACACACAGACGCTGCCTCCTGCAAGGTATTGCCCAAGCAATGTCCTTTCCCCGGGGAAATATCAAAGAGGAGTTTGTGGCGCAGCTGTGCAGTCCCTGTCCGGCTGCTTGGAGCCTGTGGAAGCAGCTGTGGGCCCTGTGCTGCAGCAGGAAAGCCCTGCAGATCCACACAACAACAA